CCCCAAAACCCCAAAACCCCAAAACCCCAAAACCCCAGCTCCTCCACTCACAGTTGAACCTTCACATAAAAATTCCTCCTCCTAATTTCCCCTACAATTTCTTCCAAGAATTCAACATAATTTATTAAAGAGGGGTTTACAGACGGAAATATTTTAGGCCGTGACCTCCTCTGTATTTGGATGAAGAAGTGGATGGGTGGTTAGAATTGGGTGACTCTTTCGTATGGATCGGGGCAGTAAAGTCGCTTTGATAGAGAGCTGAGATCTTGGGACTGGGAGATTGAGCTGTGGCTTTGGTTACTCTGGATGGATGAATTTTTAGATGATTCGGAGGTGATTAGTGGTAATGGGTCTTGGGGAGTGAATCTGTTGTTTTTGTAGATCTTCCATTCAGATATAACTTTAGTCATGAGGAATATGATTAGAGATAAAATCATTATGTTAGCAAGAACTTTGATAGTTATAGTCTTATAGTAGGAGATGTGTTCATCTGTAATCTCAAATAAGCTGATAATAATATCGTCAAACTCTGTTCATTGTGAAGTGTCCATGCCCTTAAAATTAGGAATTAAGTATTCCCCGATCCTGGCTCTGATGCATTGAGACTTGGCTTCAAAGGCTTCTGCTCCATATATGCTCATAATTTTTTGTTTGATTTGGAAGAGCTTCTTTGCATATTTTATTAAGAATTCGATTATACCATACTTAATCTCTGTGACAAGCATTTTTGAGAAATTTCTGAATTCTCAGAATAAAACTAGGGTAAGTTGATCAAGCTTAGATCAATCATAATCTCGACAATTAAATAGTTGTTTAAATGCAAACCATGCTACTTGCAATATTTGGGGTAATGGAAAATTAAAAAATTTCAGATCTGTAAAGTCCAGGTTCGCATGCCTGAGAACTTTTATGGCTGATAGCGAGATATTAGAGAACTTGTTTATTCTGTGAATTTGCAAATCATATGCAAATTTAGGACCTCTTACAAATTCGTCCAATACTGCATATTTTCAAACAACTGTTGTTACAAAGAGAGAAATTACCAAGAATTTCTAAAGCGATAATCCCATTTATAATATTTATTTCAACAAAGATCTCTCCATCACAAGTTCCCAAGTTTGCTCGATAAATACCAAACCATAGGTTACTTCCGGCAAACTATAATCTAACTCAACCAACTAAACATTTCATCTCCATTCATAAGCATTCCCTCCATCCACACCCCAAGAATACAACCCTCCCACAATACACCTCAAGTCTAAACCCCACCTCCTCATTCCCCCAGTCCATCCCAAAATCCCTCCTCCCCAGTCATCCACCTCTTTTTCTTCCTTCTCCAAATCCAGTACAAATAAGCCAATTTTCCTAATTGTATAAAGGATTACTTAGAAAATTCTGAAATTTGAACGGGGAATTTTAGTGATGAGGGGATTTTAGTGGATTTGGGAGGAACAAGGGGAAAGGGGTTAGGGGAAGTAGGGATTTTTGAGTGGGAGTTGAGGGTTTGGGATTAGGGGGTTTGGGATTAGGGGGTTGAGGGTCTGGGTGGCTGAGAGGAAGGGGATGAGGTGGGTGTTTTGGTGAGAAGCAAAGGTTAGAGGTTTTAAGTAGAATTAGGATTTGAAGGTAAAAGCATGTGAATTTATGTGAATTTTATTTTTGAGTTCAAAGAGTTTGAATAGAGTTGAAAACTAATCAAAGCTTAGGAAGTATTATATTGACTTTCTCTAAAATCCTCTGTTTTAAATGATTCACTCTCTTTCTATATAAATGATCAACACAAAATTACGCTGAGGGATACTCCAGAATTATTGAAAATCAAAGGTTCTGATTGTCAATGATAGCCATCTACTCTAATGCTGATTCTTGGAGTTGTAGATAAACTCAATTTGATAAGATAGATTTGAACCATTGTTGGAATCAGACTCAATATAAAATAGTATCAAAAGGTGTAAATAACATACCAGGTTCTATTATGTTTCAAAGCTTCTCCCTCCCATATATCTAAAAAATCAGTGATGCTTCCCACTAGAATAATGCCACTTCTGGTTTCAAAGACAAAAACAACGACTGCAATACTAATAATTAATCTTCATTTGAGTTTATTTGCTCAATTTTACACCGTTGGTATTTTTGTCGACCTTCTTAAGAGCTCTGTAGAAGCAGAGCAAAGTGAACATAAAGAAGAGACCAGTTAGCATATTTAATCCTGTCATAACTAGAATCCCTGTTGAGAATATCTTAATGTTTTTGGGGTGTTTCCTTCATGTTTGCACACCATCAACAATAAATATAATGGTTCACACCAGTAGAATGAAAAGCATGGTTGACCATAGGACAATGCTGTAAATACGTTTCTTGCGTCTTTCTCTGTTTTTAAACCTGAGTATTTGCGAAATGTATGTGAACGAAAGTACTATAATCGTGCTCATGTACATAAAATAATTTATCCAGTTAGTCCAATGACCCAATCAATAATATTTATTGCCGAGTCATCCTTGTAAATATCAAAAATATGCTTGTGCTGCTCCATAAATAATATCTCAAACGATGGATAAAGTCAGAAAACCCATAAAAATGCTTACTATTATGTTCTTAAAGCCATAAAATTTTAAAAACTTGACTGAATACCAGAGTTGGACCAAGAGAGTAAGAACCCCAACTCAAGCATACACAATCATCATAATGACATACCCTTTGCAGCCATCGATGGAGACTTCGTTCTCCATATTATCTGACATTAAAATTATTACAATAATTAGGATTATTCTGGGGTTTTGGGGTTTTGGGGTTTTGGGG